ACTAATCCCAGAACAACCATCTGCTTTGCAGGTAGCCTGGAGTCACCGCATTTGAACCTCCGTGTCCACAAGAGGATTTTTATTCCTTTTTAGATTTGAACCTGAGACCTTCAAACACTTTTTGACATTTGAAGACCAAACTCAAACCAATCAGACACCACCCTTGTGGTTTAAACATTTCCAATTTCCATTTTCATAACTAGAACTTATAACTTAATTATTTTAAAACTGAATGATATCGTTAAATCACATGTTTATAATACAGACAAACAAATATAGAAAAAAGATATAAGAATGCGAAAACAAATCACATGCATCCATTCATTTCAACTGAAGATTGAAAATATCGTGGTATATTTTCTAAAATTAATGGCAAATCACTGGGGTTTTTGTTTTGCTTTTTTAACCATATTCAGCATATGAACAATGGCAAAACGGGAAGCGTTATAAATGTGATAGTTTATGGGCAAGGTAGGGTTGATTGGCCCCTCTATTCCAGTCCCAATCGGTATTTTCGTTCAAATGTAGGTCGGCTGGCTTGCTTGCGTTCAAACGAGTTTATGAATGAACGAAATCAGTTGAAGGAGTGGGCAAGCATGTTGCGTTCTGTTAGGCTATAGATTACTAGAACAACTGTAGTTGAATGGAACTGATAATATTTAGAAATAATAAAAGATTAAAACTAAAAAATTAATTAATTTTAAATTTAAAATATTTAAAAATTTACAAAAATTGGAACAAAACTAATTATACAAAAACAAAAAAACAAATTAAACCATGTTTCTCGTTTTAATTTGACACCTATATTGCTATATCTTTTCATCAGTTTTTGACAGGATATCAGTTGTTGTATATTCACCAGGAAGTTATATATGATTATATGTGATTTGTACAGTAATAAACATAACATTGATTTGTGATTTGAATCAAGTATCAAAGTGTTATGTGTGATCTTGTGTTGAATCACATGCGGTTTTAAATGTTTCATACGACATGACATTGTTTATATGTTTACATATGTTGTTAATCATATGTGATATAATCTAAGAAGATAACATGATTGTTAGATTATATTATCGGTGTAATCATGTAGATAAACACATGTGGTCTAATTAAAAAGAATCACATACATCGGTGGCATTTGTTTTTTAAGAGGTGTTGAAGTCTGATGTCACTTCTGATTTATAAGAGGTGGACCCAAAGTCTGAAATCTAGTTCAGTAAGATTGTTTGTTTTACGTCTGAAGTCGGAAACATGAATCGGTCAAACTAGTGTAAAAATATAAAAGATAAATATATTTTTTACAAAAGTATAAAAGATGGATAATTTTTGCTAATAAATATCTTCCAGCCCCCAAATATGAACCATGTGATAGAAGACAGATTAAAATTAAGAGGTATTAAGTGGTACATTTACCACTTAAAATTTCAGAGGACATTTAGAGCTTTTAAGCTCTTATTTTAAAAATAAAACAAACGCTCTTAATACTCAAACATTTGAACGAATCAGACTTCAGAGGTATTAAGAGGTAATTTTAAAAAAACAAACAACCCCTTCATATGTTTATTTGTGTGGTTAATAGCATGTGATCATCTATTATATGTAATGCATTCCCTAAATCATATGTCATCCCGTAAATGATGACATAATTGTTATGATGTGTTATCATGTATTTAATCACATGTGATTATAAACAGGATCACATGGTTGTCATTTTCGATGCATTCCCCAAATCACATGTGATTCACTAAAATGATTCACATGTGATCTTAAACAGATTCACGTTATTCATGTGTTTTTAATGATATGCGATATTTTTAGTAACAATTTAAATGTTATTTTTTGTTCTTATTTTTCTTGATGTTTTTTTTCGATTCCATGTTTCATCTTCGTGTTTCACTTTTTTCCGTTTCATGTTTTATATTTTCGTTCTGATGCTTCATGTTCTATTTTTTTAGTGGTAGTTTCATGTTTTATGTTTAATCGGTTTCATTTAACGAAACGCAGCCAAAAACTGAAGACTCGTCCCTACCCTTCATTGATGAAACAAAAAATCTTTGATAATTACAGTCTCTGACACTTGAAGAAACTGAAATTAGTTTTCACATGAAAAGAACCACACATAACTGTATAATTATTTCATGCAAATACATTAAACATAAACACATCCAAACATAGATACAATACACAGCAATATGGTTTCACCGACTATGCATTCTATTAAATTTTCATAACAATATACAATAAAAAAACCAGTAAACATTAAGACATTAAATCGGAATGCGAACAAATTTAATAGATCGAGAAAGAAAAAATGGCAAAAAAAAATACCATCAGATTCTTCTACAGCAAATGATCAACATCAGATATCGAAAAGAACAAATCGATTGATGAACATCTTCTCAACAAATCTAGTGGATCGATTAATAGATAATAATTGTAAATAAATCAAAATGAGAAAAAGACAGTAAAGCCCTTTAATAAAAAAAAGACAAAGGAATAAAAGATTTTGATTGGTCAAATTTAATTTGCAAAGTTTGTATATATCGACTTTTTAATCTAACTTTATTTTCGTTCAAGTATTTTCAGCACCTCCAACTATATTCATCTACCTTTATCTTCCAATTTTAATAACTTTTCACGAACTTTTACATATATTTTGATCACTTTCACATGTATGAATTGGTTAAAGTGTCGGCAGTAGAACAAAAAACAAGTTTATTATTGAATTTTCATACATATACACACACACACACACATATATATATATATATATATATATATATATAACTTATAGATTAGAGTCAATTACATTTTTATTCCTTATGGGTGTCACCTGTTATCAAGTTTGGCACGTCTTTTAAACTAATTACAGATTTGGTCACTATGGTTGTCATTTTGTTTCAATTCTCGTCCCTTTGACTAATTCTAGTTAAAATGGTTAATAGATCAGTAGTTCAAACAAGAATGATTTACAAGGTAACGTATGAATGGTTCATGAGCCTGCATTTCATATCAGACAAAGCAATAAGGGTTCGTTTGGTTTCACATAATGTTTTCGTGAGATTTGGAATTGGAAAATTTTGGAATTTTTGAGGTATTTGGTTTGTAGTTTGGAATATAAATGAATACCATTCTCTATAATTAATCTATAAAAAAAATTATAAAGATAATTAAATTGCATAAAATGCTAAGCACCACACGAAATCCCATGTTTCATTGAAATCTCGAGATTTCAATTCCGGACTTTCCTTTAAACCAAATACAGAATGAAATTGAATCTCATTCCAATCTCATGTTTGATTTGAATGATTTTCGTGATTTAAAATCATCGAGTTGCATTAAAATTCCACAACCAAACATTTTTCATTGTTTTATTTATTTTTTATATTAAATTTAATGAAAATGTTCGATTGTTAATTGGTTATTTATTTTTCATGACGATAAATTCAAGTTTAAATTTTGAATTTTTTAAGTAATTATATTATTAAGTTTTTTATTTGATACATATTTTTTTAAAAAGGAACCAAACTTGATAATGGATAACAACTATATAAACCAAAATTGTAATTTACTGTATATATTATATAATATATGAATAAATACTCAGACTTGGGATCATGTGAGATAGAGTTGTTTTCGTGAGACATGATTTTTACATTTGAAACTCCATAGCAAAACACTGTGAATGTAACATTCACAGTGTTTTTGCTGTGAAGGTTCGACTTTTTTTTACTAACAAAAGTTTCAAAAGTAAAAATCGTGTCTCACGAAAACAGTATTGTCTCACATTAACCCAACTCTAAAAACTTACATATAATAAATAAAGAAGGCGGTATGGCCCTTACAAAGTTCCCTACCAGCATAGAGCTTGGAAAACTCGAATCGATCAATATTCAAACTAATTATAATGATCATTGAGCGTTATTAATACGATAGAATATTTCAATTATTATTTCCATTCATATAAAAATATACATATTTAATTTTAAATGTAAAATATATATTTAGACTAAATAAAAGTTTTGAGTTTAAGGTGGCATTTGTTTTTTAATAGGTGTTGAAGTCTGAAGTCTGATTTCACTTCTGATTTATAAGAGGTGGTGCTGAAGTCTGATATCTAAATCAGTCAGACTGTTTGTTTTCATGTCTGAAGTATGAAATCTGAATCAATATAAACACGAACAAAGTCTGATAACGACTAGAAGCAATATTCATTTTGCATTAATTGTATCGTCATCATCCACTTGCTCGTTGGTTTGATCATACTCTGAAAATAACTCATATATAGAAGAAATTGATTTGCAGAGATCGTTTTGCAAAGATTGATTTAGATAGATCGGTAGCTTAAGACCGAGTGATCTGAGAGATCGATATGGTGTCCAGATCGTATGATTTGGTAGCTGGATATTAAGCGAGAGATCGATATGGTATCATCGTGTGCGAATAAGAGACCATTAAGAGTTTAGACTACCACTTAAAAATTTAGAGAACTATAAAAAATTTAGTCCTAAAAAGTTCAAAAAAAATAGTTTAAACATCGTCTCTTTTTTATTAAAAATAAAAAAAATGGAAAAAAAATAAAATAGGACGGATCATCCTCGGGGGGCGATTGGGTGACGTGGATCGCCCCCGGGGTAGATCCACGCAAAACGAAGTGAATAGTGTTGTACCCTAAAATGATGTATGTGGGACCCACCAAAAATGATTTTTTTTAATTGTTTTTTGTACTTTTTTGGTAGAAAAGAAGGGGATCGCCCCCATGGTCATGGATCGCCCCAAGGGAGATCCATGTAGTCGTTTTGGCAATTTCGTAAAAAAATAGTTATTTCGTCAATATATCAGGTATATTTTAATATTTTGTTGATTTTCCCTTTATTTAAACATAAATTTTAGACACCTTTCCATGGTGTTTTCCTATATATATAAATCTTTGCACATTGCTACTTGCTAGTAATTCTTTAAATCTGCCATCGCCAACCCCCCCACCCCCCACCAAAATGCAGGCCAAAACATTCAATTTCATCCCATTGAAACCGTCGTCGCCGGCGATCAAACTGCGACGACCTCAGGCGATCTCGTTCCCCGATAGTGTCCCTCGAAACATTTCCATAACCATACCAACTCAAGAAGTTTCGACTTCCGTTCAAGATGAAAAAGTCGCAGCTTATTGGGATTACCAGTTTCTGTTTGTTTCCCAACGATCAGAAACTGCTAATCCCATCAGCTTACGCATTTGCGAAGGCTCCATACCTGCAAATTTCCCACTCGGCACGTATTATCTGACTGGTCCGGGTCTGTTTCGCGACGACCATGGCTCAACGGTGCACCCGCTAGACGGCCACGGATATCTTCGAGCGTTCACGATCGATGGTTCGAAAGGTGAGGTCACCTTCATGGCTCGATACATTGAGACCACGGCGCAGACCGAGGAGCACGACCGTGAAACCGGCAAGTGGCGGTTCACCCACCGTGGCCCGTTTTCGGTGCTGAAGAACGGGAAAAAGATCGGAAACACGAAAGTGATGAAAAACGTGGCTAACACGAGCGTGTTGAAGTGGGGAGACCGGTTGTTTTGCTTGTGGGAAGGTGGTGCTCCTTACGAGATTGAATCTGGATCGTTGGATACGATCGGAAAGTTTGATCTGATCAACGGTGATGATGGATCATGTAGGTCCGACGACGGAGATGCGGTGGTGGAGGGTGGTGGAAGGCTGTTGGATCTTGCTGCAAGCATATTGAAGCCAATATTATATGGTAGAAATATTGATTTATATTTATATATAATAATTAATTAATTAATTAAATATTAATAAAAAAGAATCCTTGTACGCAGGTGTTTTCAAGATGCCACCCAAACGGCTGTTGTCGCATTACAAGATTGATTCTTCGAGGAATAGACTTCTTATGATGTCATGCAATGCAGAAGATATGCTCCTCCCACGCAGTAATTTCACCTTCTACGGTAAGTTTGTGTGTGAAATATTTTCAAATTAAACCAGTAGTGACGGATAGGTTTGAGTTTGGTTTTAAAAGTCAAAAGTATTTATAGGTTTCAAGTTTAAATCCAAGAAGGAATAAAAATTTCTTTGTGGCCACGAACGTTCAAATGCGATGACTCTGGGCTATCTGCAAAGCAGATGGTTGCCCTAAGATTAGTCGGCTCGCATAAATGATTGGATATTCAGGTTCATAAAAAAATTCTAAATTAATTTTTTTAAAGATTTATTTAATTTTATGTGTATTTTAAATTATGTTTCTCAAAACATATATAAATCATATAATATATTCTCTCTGTCTTTATTTTTTTAACGAAATAATTATTATGTCCTTGTCATTATATTTTTGTATGAATGAGACATTTTTACTTGCCAAAATCCTGATTTTATTGTTTACTCCTTTTCATAAAATACAATCTTTATTTCAAAAGAGAAAAAAATGTCAAGTAATTTTTAACTATCGCTTATTGTAATGTTTTTAAATATTTGATTTTTTTTACTGCTAAGTAATTTTTGGTTTCGAAAAATATGACGTAAACTTTAAAACGGAAACAGGGTAAAGTTAAGTTGGTTCCATTTTGATGTTATTTTTCCTTTTAAAGCTATTTGTTATCTTCACGCATCACCGTCCCATAAAATTAGTTCAGAGATATGTAAACAATCTGATTTAAACACCCACGATTCAGCATTTTCTATTTTTGTATGATACATATTATTTTAAGAATTAAAACATTTTAAATATTGATTAATTTATTTTGCAGAGTTCGATTGCAATTTCAAGATGGTAGAGAAGAAAGAATTCAAGATCCCAGAACATCTAATGATCCACGACTGGTCTTTCACTGATTCTCATTACATCTTGTTTGGAAACCGAATCAAACTCGACGTTCTTGGTATATATAATCCTCTTTATAGAGATAGATATATCATAAGTTAGATTAGAACTGATCATATCTCGTAGTTATCTACTTATAATTCATCTCTATATTAAAAAAAGGCTTATGATTAATGAGAATTACAGATTCATTATCTCTATTTACTGTTATTTTATTTGGATTTTTTTTAACATATGATACTCTTAACAAACTTGTTACGATTCCGAAAAAAAAAACACTCTATAAACTTATTGTAACACTTTTAAATATATGATCGCAGGATCAATGGCAGCAGTATGTGGATTTACTCCAATGATATCAGCATTATCTGTAAACCCTAGCAAATCCACATCTCCAATATATATGCTTCCTCGTTTTCATGATGAAGGATCAGGGAGAGATTGGAAAATCCCCATTGAAGCTCCTTCTCAAATGTGGGTTCTTCATGTCGGAAATTCGTTCGAACACAAAGATGGTGACGGAAACGTGCAGATCGAGATCCAAGCGAGTGGTTGTTCGTATAAATGGTTCAATTTTCAGAAAATGTTCGGTAATCAAGTTATTGTTTTTCATACGGCTAGAAAACATAGTATCACCGACAGTGTGAGCCATCGGTAATCCGTTGCCAATGTCTACTAACCAACGGATTACCGACAGAACTAATCTGGTCGGAGATTTCTAAAACTAGCGACGGTGATATCCATCAGCAGTTGATATACGACACCGTCACGTCATACTTTGAAAAATAAAAATAAGGGACTACGGATTATCTTGAAAATACCATTAAATTGTCGACGGATTATTGACAGGTTTTTTCCGACGGATAGTAATAGAATCTTCGATTTACTGATACCGAATGGTGATTTACGTAACAGGATACGATTGGCAAAGTGGCAAGTTGGATCCGTCAATGATGAACGCAGACGGAGAAAATAACTTGTTGCCTCATCTAATCCAGGTTTCGATATTCTTTAGATGTAAAAACGTTTTTTTGGCTATGTTTGTCGACCATAAGCATACTTATTATTTAATCTTATTGAAAAAAGCTTTGTGTGATAAGCCATATTCCAACTTATAAGCTAAAGGGTTGTTTGTTTACCTCTTAATAGTTCAATTAAGAGGCAACCTCTGAACCATTAAGAGATGAATCTTGTTTGGCAAAAAAAAAAAAAATCTACCTCTTAGTAGTTCTAAAACCCTCTGAATGATTTTGTATCATAGATCTCCCTTAACCATTAAGAGCCCTAATTTCATTGTACACAATTACCAAACAATTATATTTCAGTTTGCACTATATCATGAAAGTCTCTTAATCATTCTACATCAAATCATTCAGCAATTGCCAAACAGCCCCTAATCTTTTGAAATGCTATTTGAAGTAGGGTTTTAATAAGCTAACATGGTGTTTTTTCCACTTTTTTAGGTTATACCCTTAATTTTTTTCTAATTAATATTTTAATTTATCTTTTTAGATCATTTTATATTGTCATCTTGCTTATCAACTGGTTCTTACCAAATTTGACTAGTTTATCAGCTAGTTTGTTACCAATAGTTAGTTTTTTAGCTAACAACTAGCTTATCAACTAGTTTATCAAACATAGTCTTTGTAGTTGGAACTTGACCTAATCAGACTGAGTACCGGTTGTTGGTTCTATGACACACAGGTTTCGATTAACTTGGATGCAAACGGAAATTGCAAAAAATGTCGTGTGAATCCTCTAAACACACAATGGGAAAAAGCAACCGATTTCCCAGTTATCAATCAAGATTTCGGTGGAAGCAACAACAAGTACGTGTATGCGGCGACATCTTCAGGTGTTCGTCGGGAACTTCCGCATTTTCCATTCGATACAGTAGTGAAGTTCGACACGGTGACGAATTCGACCCACACGTGGTCAACGAGCGCCCGACGGTTCATCGGTGAGCCCATTTTCGTCTCGAATGGAAACAAAGAAGATGATGGGTACCTTCTTGTGGTAGAGGTACATGATCATAATGACCTAAAAACCATTTTTCCAAATGAAAATTTAAATTATTTTTTATTATTTTTAATTAAATGACAAATTATTTGCAGTATGCAGTGTCAAAACAACAATGCTATCTGGTGATTTTGGATGCAAAGAAGATTGGGGAGACCAATGCAGTTGTGGCAAGACTTGAAGTGCCAAAATACTTGAATTTTCCTATAGGATTTCATGGTTTTTGGGCTCCTACAATACAACACTACTAGAAAACTGGGTATTTTTGGCGGAAAAATCCGTCAGAAAATTACTGATGGATTTCCGACAGACAACAAAAAAGTCAACTTTCGTTGAATTCCGTAGAAAATCTGCCAAAAAGTTGACCAGTTTGGTAGTGTAAATGTTATGCAGTGTGTTTTTGTATCATTTTTATTAGCACATCCATTCTATTCGGTTGTTAGATTTTGTTAGTGGATTTATTGTTTTATATAAAGATAGTATTTATTAGGTTGTATCGTAACAAAATTGGGTTTATAGGATTCTGAAAAAAAATTAAGTGTATTAAGACAAAAATAAAGTGTCGTATCTAAAAGTGTTACAATAAGTTTATAGGACGTTTGTAGGTGTAGTGATAAGTTTTTATGACCTTTTTAAAATAAAGTCTCGTATTAGATATTTTACATGATAGTTTTTATAAGTGTCCAATAAACCAATCTTTTAAAGACACTTGTTTTTAATGACGTCGTATAAAATAGCTAATACGACAATTTACTTTTAAAAAGATTCTAAAAAGCATGTTACGATATCCAAAAACATTCTATAAACTTAAGTGTTAAATTAAGTTTATAGAACGTTTATTGGTGTCATATCTAAAAGCTTTTAGATATGATACTTTTCTATATCGTATAAACTTAAGTCTAAGACACTTAGGGGTTGTTTGATTGGTTTTTGATTACATCTTGTATGGATAAAGTTATATGTGTAGATTAATCTGTCTGGAAATATTGGGAGGGACATGTTTTTGGAAAAATAAATTGGCTTTCTGCATAAAACTCTCTTAAAAACAGGGTCGTCCTTCGAACTATTAGTATTATTATTTTTTTGAATTTACTGCTATTTCTTATGATAAAAACAATATATTGAAGAGTTTTCGTACATATCGAGTGCCCTTTTTTATATCTCGCACAGAGCCTATAAAATGTCAGGAACAAGTCTGCTAAAAACTTACTGAATAAGTCATTTTTGTATCAATAAGTCACTACCAAACAGTCATATATAGTTGCACGAATAAGTTGTGAGTTTCAATATATGAGCTTATTAAGCGGCTAACAAACCATCACTTAAACACTTTAGGGGCCTTATTGTAACACACCTAAAATATATACGAGACAATTTTAAACATGTAAAATTGAAGCGACAAATAATGGATCAAATATAATCATCCAATAAAAGGGGAAATAATATAAGTTTACAATTATAATGGAAGGTTAAAAGTACTTGGAGGTCTTAGGTTCAAATCCAAGAAAGAATAAAAACACTCTTGTGGTCACGGATGTTCAAATGCGGTGACTCTGGGCTATCTGCAAAACGGATGTTCGCTCTGGGATTAGTCGGCTCGCATAGCGGGTTGGATATCCAGGTTAATAAAAAAAAATGCCTCTACCGGCACAACCCACTCCACTAGAGCCTTAGGATCCCCACCGCTAACGGTACCTGATATACATGTCATTTGCAAAAAAAAAAGTGTTAGACTTAATGCCTAGTGAGAATAAACAGTTATTGAATAAAACTATAAAATGTTAAAACGAAAAACATAGCTTTAATCAACTCACGTTTACCCTTGAAATGGCATAAAACATCCGAGATGTCGATGGAGGCCCGATTTACCATTTATTGTGACGGAACACATAAGTAAGTCACAGACCAATGCTATACGAGCATCTCTTATAGGTAAGTAACCGTTGGCATCAACCAAATTCAGTCTATAGTCAAATGAGATAATAAGCTCGTTCACTTGAAAATTACATAATAATCACAATGATTTCTGACAGATTTTGTAATTTTGTCGATTTAGGAAACACTGATAATTGAGAAATAAAAACAAAAAACGTAATGTTTTTGACATATTTTTTTAATTGGACTATAAAAGTTAAGTTTACAACATGAAAAATATATAACTAATACATGTGTATATGGCGGTTGGTTCGATCCAAACCGCTCAAAAAATGTTCAAATCATAGACCAGACCAAACGGTTTAGCTTTTTTCCAGATTGAACCGGACCGCCGACCGCTCAAACCGTGATTTTTCTGAACAACGATTTAAGCGGTCCAAAGATTTTTTTGGACACCCTTTAACTATAATTAATATTTAGTTCACTTTTCACGATAATTATTTCTTGTCATAAGTGGAAAAAAAATCTGGATCTGTCTCTGACTATACTGTATACACTCGTTTTATTTTCAACTCATTCAGCACACGTTCTGATATACGAAAACGAGAGAAACAAAAGTCGACCAACTAGAAACTAACGTAACTTCTAATCGAACAAAGTCATTCTAAACTCCATATTGGAATTTTTTATTCCGACTTTTGATTAAAAACGGAGATCGATCATGTCTCCATGCTCCTTGTGATGACGACTACCAAGAGTACGACTACGGAGAGAAGTAGCGAAGATCGTACTTTCTCTTCCAACATATCATCAACTTTTGATGTGGAATTCCCATTTTTTGACATAGATTGTACTGCTCCAATGACGAAAACCTCCAATTTCTCGATGAACTCCATGAATTTTAATCTCATGAACGCAAAAATCCACTTAACGATAACGGTTGTCGAGTCGAGTTCCTCGTCGTTGCTCGTGGCTCTCTCTTTGGTTCCTGCGTCACCAACACAATGTTCATTGCGAGACCAAACAATCATTTGCGACATCCCAAATCAAACCGTCGCAAAAATCATGATTCGGTCTATTTGGGCGACAATTATGGTTAAAGTAAATGAAAAATGGTCATTAAATTCGTTTTGGTCCGTCCAAAAGAACCAAACCTTTTTTTGATTAACCTGGATATTCAACCCGCTATGCGAGCCAACTAATCTCAAGACAACCACCTGTTTGAACAGAACCAAACCTATTTGTGTATATATATATTTATATATATATATCTGTACCAATTAATACAGATCGGGTTGATTAATTAATTGACGAAGAGGTAACAAAACAAAACCTGTATTTGGCAACAAGCCTTGAAGATCTTGAACTGCATTGTTCCTTAGGATCGCATCCCACACCTCCGTATCGGATGATAATGATGCCACCAATCTCTGCATAATTCATAACCGATTTACATTGAATTTTAGTAAAAAAGTAAGTACAATTTATTAGATCGAAGATAACAAATAATCTAGAACGACAATACAACTTCCATTACATAACTTACAAACCGTTATTGCTTTGCAATACATCACTACAACAAAATTGAGTTTATAGGACACCCCCAATCTCTAAGTGTTCCAATAGACCACTTTATAAGACTTAATTTATAGGACTAAAATATAAAATTTTCTATCTAAAGGTGTTGTAATAAGTTTATATGACGCTTTTTAGCGTCTTAACAAGTTGTTCAGGACATTTTTAATACAAAGTGTCGCATTAGCAACTTTATAGAACACTTTTGAGAAAGTGTCCTGTAAACTCAACTTTTTATAGGACATTTGTTTTTATAAGACAGTTTTTCAAATAGTGTCATATAAAGTTGCTAATGAGACGCTTTATATTAAAAGTGTCCTAAAAAACTTATTACGACGTCAAAAAACGTCATATAAACTTATTACAATGTCTTTAGATATGACGCTTTATTTTTTTTGTCATATAAAACTAAGTCTTATAAAGAGGTCTATTAGGACACTTATAAATTGGGAGTGTCCTATAAACCTGATTTTGTTATAGTGCATGAAAAACAATTACAAACCGTAAAAAAACCATGAATATTGGTGTGTTAGACGATCATTCAACTAAGGTACTTTTTTCGGTAAGCAATTACTACAAAACATTTGGTACACAACTATTTCGGTATCGAAACCGCACTTTTACCCAATTTTATATTAGCAAACGACCCCTAAAATTTGTTCAAATTACCACGTCATGAAAATGTTCTTCCAAAAATATCGACACCTACGGTGTCACAAAAAAGAACTTCTCAAAAGTTTTGACGACGTAAGTTGCGGCGACAGATGCAGCGACGGCAAAAGGCGTCGCAAAGATCAAATTCAAAGGATAAGGTTTTATTGAACACCTGGACTGAAGCATCAGTTTGCAGCAGATGGTAAGCATCAAGAAGTCTCTTTTCTCCCAAAGATCTCATTAGGGTTCTTGAAGAATCATATGGGAATTGCTCCAAACTTATTTTCCCAACTCCATTTTTTTCTGAATTTCTTGTACAAATTCCATCCATCACCCTGATTTCAAAACCATTTTTGCAGCATGTTCATTACATATGTATATGTATATGTATATGTATATATACATATACATAATATATATATATATATATGTGTGTGTGTGTGTGTGTGTGTGTGGAAGCTTAAATGGGTAAAAAGCTTACCTTCGAAGATCAGAAATGGCGTTTTGAACTTCAGTTTGAGAAGGTACAGGTCCAAAGATGGCTTTACTTAAAGACCCTTTTGCTTTTCTTTCACTTTCATCGACAAAATCGGAATTTTCAGTATACAAATTGGAAGAAAAAGGTGAAACAGTCTGAGAACATGGTGGTGGTGGCGGTGGTGGTGGTGGTGAGCGGTGGTTGCTGGCGGTGGTGGCCGGTGCTGGTATTGCTCCACCTCCTCCTCCTCCTCCCATATTTTAAAATCAATTGATGAAATCGAAGACTTCGTGTTCATCATTCAAGATAATGTTTGCTTTTGGGGATTATTTTCTTGAAAAGTCCTTCAGGTTTGAAAAATTACACTTCAGTCCAAATATTTGTATATGATATTCATTAATTCAAAATTGATTTTAATTTTTTTTATTAACATGGATATCCAACCCGCTATGCGAGCCGACTAATCCTAGGAAGACCACCTGCTTTGCAGATAGTTCGAAGTTACTGCATTTGAACCTCCGTGGCCATAAGAGGATTTTTATTCCTCCTTGAATTTGAACATGGAACCTCCTGGTGCTTTTAATCTTCGGAGCCAAACTCAAACCAATCAGGCACCACCCTTGTGGTTGATTTTAATATTTTTCATGTTTTATAAAATTGGTTTATATAAATACATGCATTGATTATTTGAAGTTGCATACCAAATAAAAACATTGACCTTTTATCATATATTTTCATCTCATTATTTAAAAAACGACATTTTCAAACTCATTTTAAACATTTTTTTGTGCAAAAATTGTTTACGGTCGACCATTCCAAGTCGATCCACACCACCACCGGCCTCATGATCATTAACAATGATAAATCAAGTACTCAAAAGTCCGATAACTGGTTCATTTAAAAGTATAATGCTCACAAAGTGCCTAATCAACAGTCAACTTCCACATTGTATCTATCAGACTCGAACCATTGACTATTTATGTAAGTATACAATCCCATAACTAAAAGCGCTACGTGTTTGTCATGGAGACGTTTTAAACTTTTTGTCAAATGAGAATTATAACACCATTCATATTATAAAAAGTTAAATAGAAAAATGGTATGTATACGTGACAAATGAAACGTACCAAAAATGATTGGTTTGAGCTTGACTCCAAAGGTCAAATGTGTTTGGAGGTTACGGGTTCAAATCCAAGAAGGAACCAAAATCTCCTTGTGGCCACGGAGGCTCAAATGCGATGACTCCGGCCTACCTGCTAAGCACGTGGTTGCCTTGTGATTAGTCGGCTCGCATAGCGGGTTAGATATCCAGGTTAATAAAAAAAAATGAAACGTACCAATTTTCACTTATTGAGACCATAGTTTATATTCTTAAATGATTTCGATTTTACTTAGACGTTTTTTCATTAAGTCGTAAAAATGTCTAAATTAAGATTTTAAATTCGTTATTAAGATGAAGTTCGGTTATTACATGTTTTGACGAATGAGAGATAGTTGCTCTCTTGAACAAGAAATGTAAGGATGAGAATAAACACATATATATACACACACGGAGAAACACACACTTGTATTGTGCACGAACTTTTGGTGGAACTTTACGAGTAAAAGACAAATATTTCGTTTGTTTGAAGACACAGAATAAAGAGAAATGGGAGAAAAGTCTTATGTGAAGCTTACAAGGGAGCAAGAAGCCTCGTTACAAGATGTCACTCCTGGAGAGCTCAATCAACCTATCGATATTCACGAGGTCTTTTTAATCTATCACCAACATCAATATTTATATACCACACACTCATATACATATATATATATATATATAAAATATATATATATATATATATATTCACACACATGTCCATGCATATATCTTCAGTTTTGATGGTACAAGATAAACTTGGGATTGCTAAACTTGGTGTCATTTTGATAGTTGCATGCTCGTAGATGCCCAGAATGTGGGCAGAGTTTACCGGCATCATATGAATCACCTGCCGATGAAGATTGGTCAACTGGAATATTTAGCTGTGCCGATGATCCTGATAGTTGTAAGTACAAATCTTGTGTCGCTAATATATTTATGCATTAACAACTCAGTTTCTATGATATCAATGGATGTTTGTTTGAATGCTCTATGGGTCTTTTTAGGCATGACTGGATTGTTTTGTCCATGTGTTTTGTTTGGGCGGAACATAGAGAACTTGAACGATGAGATCCCCTCCAACAATGCATGTATGTGTCACGTGTTATGTGTAGAAGGTGGCATGGCTCTTGCTACAATCATTGCATTCGTCCCTGGAATAGACCCGAGTACATCGTGTCTGATTACTGAGGGCCTTTTCTTCGCTTGGTGGATGTGCGGTATTTATACCGGCATGGCACGACAGTCGCTTCAACGTAAATATCACCTAAAGGTACTACATTACATTCATAGGCATGATATTGATTTGTAATTTGAATTTGATCGTGCATATCTAGACCCTAATTCTAAGTGGGACATACACTTTAGAGTTCATGGTTTAACGTACATTTTGTATAGGATTCGCCTTGTGATCCTTGTGGGGTGCACTGTTGCTTGCACTGGTGTGCAATATGCCAGGAGCACCGCGAGATGAAGATGCATTTAGCTGCAAACGTCGAAGATACCCTGGTGAGTCCGCCTCGTATTCAAGAGATGAAGGCCATCGAACAGAACAAGACGAATGCCGAGTCCACCTCTTCGTCTTCATCTTATTCTTCCTCTCCTCAAAGAAACAGCGAAGATGATACGAGTATGGAGCTTCAAGTCATTGAAAGATGAGCGGGATCTTTCGATATGAATATCATAACGAAAATCTATATTTTTCTTACCGGAAAAGCAGTTGTTGCTCAAACTTTTATTAGAAGTTATTGAGTCGAGATCCAGTTTTGATTTTAACTTAGGATTCTTGTGGTTTCGACTGATTTGCAGAATCAGGAACATAAAAGCTTTCCTCTTTTGCTGTTGTTTTTATTGTGATTCTCTTTATAATTTTATAAGGTGTAAAACTGATTTGTGTTTTATCGTGTCTTTTATCTGGTAAGAGGTAAACAAACATCTTATTTGTCTATTATTGTTCTCTAGACCATCAGCAATGATGTTTCTCGGTCGATTAACCTTCATCTATTCGTTCTCTGAATTGATCCTTAACGAATCAATCCCCACCTCTCTCAATTGATGTATTTTAATATAATTTATATGTGTTAAATATTGCCAATGACATATTTTCGTTTAAATAAATAGTAATTATATAATTTAGATGTAAATTTCGTAATGATGATGAATAAATATGTGAAATTGTATAAATTTATCCATAATTTGATACTATAATTTTTTGATGGGTAGAATGGACAATTTAACTAAATTTAGATGATTATCAGTTTACAAAAACAAACAACCTTAGGGACTGTTTATTTACTTTATAATAGTTCCATTAAGAGACAGTCTCTGAATCGTTAAAAGGTGAACCTTGTTTGGAAACAAAAATGTCTGTTTTTAATGGTTCTAAGACACTCTGAATGATTTTATATCTTGGGCATCTCTTAACCTTTCAGTGCCATAATTTCATTCTAACAATTACCAAACAATTATATTTCATTTTGCACTATATTATACGAGCTTCTTAATTAGTCTATTCACTTAATGATTCTACACCAAACCATTCAACAAGTGTCAAACAACTTGTTATTGTTTTCTTTATCAAACTTCAACACCACTTTTTGTCAATCAGAAGTACAATAAGAGTTTAGCATCTCTTAAAAAACAAACAGTATCATAATCTCTTAGAAAAAGTGATCACACTTTTAAATGCATATTGAGGGGGGTTATTATAAAAAAAGATAAAAGTTGAAGGGGCAACTATGATACATGACAAAAGTTAAAATGGATCGGATCACTCCCCGCCCCGCTACCCGGCTTTACTTCATATCTGGAAAAACAACACAAATTTGACAAAACCCCCAAATTTCAAATTAGGGTTTATCGATCCTGCTTTTTTATTCAAGAGCAATCAGCATCATGATTCGATCTTCTTCACGTTCTTTGTACAAATTACGTGCTTTATGTAGATCATCGTCGTCTGTTCCCTCGTACCGATCACCTCTATCGTCACCGATTACTGCCACCGCCATTCGGCGGTTCACCGCCGACTTGGGGATAGGGAATAAAAGAGAAACTGGTATGTGTATCGATAAGTAATTGATTTGTGTTTCTACATTGATGAAAAAATCATTATGTTATTATTTTACATTTTTGCAGGATATTTCAGCTCGTTAGTTTCTCTACAGTCAAGATTTCATGTTTCTAGGGTTAATGGAGCTAGTAAGGTGAGTTCTTTTGAAACGAGATCGTTTGCATCAAGAGCTTCACGATCAAAAAGTGAGAATGCTTCAGAGGTTAGATTATGTATTCTTTTACTATTTGTATGCCAACGTTATTGTGTGTTTAGGTAAAAATTTAATGGTTGGAAACAGGTGTGTTGGATTGCCGCGTTGTCTTTTACAATTTTTAGAAAGCTTTATGCTGAGAGAGGCTATACTAGCTTGACTAAGAAGCTAACCACTTTTGCTTTTACAACTTCAAATGAATCTATATTAGAATGGGACGAGCTTTCGATTATTGCCATTTTTAGTAGTGCACAATTAGCGTTTCTTATACTTAAACCAAACAAGCTTTTAGTTGTTAAGCTTGAAAGTTTGGAGCTGCTCACAAATGTAAATTCCGTGTCCCAATACTTCATTCATAAGAGCACTTATATTTGTATAAGAAGTGTTAAAATGCTTATGAAGAGGGATTTGTTTCGGACTCCAGTATTAGAATGCACAAAATTGCACCAACTAAGATTGAGTTGCAGTTATTGCTTTGTTGCATTTTATGAGAAAATGCAATGTAGGATCATGGTGGTTTAACTGTTGTCTATGATGACTTTGTCTCTGTGTTAAATGCTTTATGGTTGGTGGGTGTCAAGGTCTAATTATGATTTGCTAGTTATATAGTTAAAGTTGAAATTTTTGGTCGCACAATATACAAGTACGATGAAACTAGCATATGTTTCTCCTACATTATGAAGAGGGCATTCACTACTAAATACAAGGAAGCTGAATATTTTTTCCTCTCGAAACAGACAAATGGGAAAACATTGATTTAAGGAAATATATGAGTTACATACTTGGAGTAGAGTGTCTAATGCTTCTCCTTCAGAATTGTCTTTGCGTGAATTTGAAGTACTTGTGAAGTATGGCAATCATAAATGTTCATCAAATGTCATCTGCCCCAAGAAGTCCCATTCATCGGTTAGGTATATAACACTGCAATCAATTCAGCTAGGCTCTAAAACAAAATCTACTGATGATTTTGTTTGATATATGAATTCTCATGCCAGGAATTATCAGAAGATGTATAGAACAGTACATTATATATTCCATCGAGCCTAAATTGTGTTAGCTTGAGTGGAGCTTCATGTATCAACTACGCTATCCATCTTAAAATAAATGAACCTTTTGCTTGAAAGTAAAAGACTAAAAGCTAAGTGAACCTTTTGAGATGTAAATGAAGACTTTTCATTGTTACTACATTCCTCTAGGATATAAACTTTTATCATTTTGAGGTGTAAATAAACTCGTTTAATTTGCAAAATCTGATGATTATGAGAATACAATTTTCAAGAAAATACCTGACTGAATTTATTCGATTTATAAATGACAAAAACTATAAACATTGGAGTAAATGCTGTTTAAAAGGTTGAAAAATGCATTCAACTCTTTTATCTTGTGACATAGGTAGGAGTCAAAAGGCTGATTTAGATTGTGATGGAGTTGATAATGTTTTGGTTTTAGTAATTCTGTTAGCTTCATTAATTTAGTACCATAAAGTCTTACCTACAGAGGTCAGATGAATGCCCTCCAGATTGTCAGATAAATAAGCAAGTATGCAGGTTAACCAGAGGAGAAAACTCCAGGTTAAAAAACTACCATTCTGCACTTACCTCATGCTTTCTTAGAAGTGTTGCCAAAAGATAGGCAAGAATGAAGGATGAATTTTCTTACTTCTATTCAGAAGTCTTGTTTGTTTAAAGCAGAGCTTACATAGTGTTGTTTTCAATGTGCTTATTAACACAATTTTACCTTTTCCCGGCACATCATCTGAAGTTTGAATATGGAATTAAAACTCTTTTATTTTTCCTCTTACTTCATAGACTAGGAAAGAGGTATCAACTGTTGAAGACCCTTTTGATGCACCCACTTACAATATACCAGAGAAGCCAATGACATTTACAGAGGGAGCTTCCTATAGTGTCGTGATCTTGATAGGGCTCGGAATTGCTGCTGCAGCAGGATATGGTGTTTTCAAAGAACTTATATTTGAACCAAAAGAGTAAGACTTGGTGACATAAATTGAATAGTTAGGCAATGATATTATCTTTGGGATCAAGGACGCTCTGAAGGACAATAGCATTTCTTTGTATATTCTTTAGTTTCTACTTTTTTTGTTATTTTATTGGTTTGTGTTCTTCTCTCTAGGTACAAGGTTTTTAACAAGGCTCTGCGAAGGATTCAAGACGATAGTCAGGTTTCTTCATTGTCTGAACTCGGTATTCTCTGTAGCTAAAAGATGCATCATTGTCAAATCATGATAACAATCTATAAGCATGAGTTAAAATTGCCTACATAGATTTGGCCTATTTAGCTGTGAGAGGAACACTGATCCTCCATAGTGACTACATATTCAGAGCTGCTTAAGCCTCATGAGTTCCAACTGCTTCCATGTCTATCCTTTTTTTTCCTTATGGTAGGAAAGTAGGAAACAAGATACACAGGAATGAAAAGGGGAGGGGCTTGGTCTTGGGGAATGAAATAACTAAAATGGTAGCATTGCAAATATGACGAGTAAATGCGTCTGTGTGCTGGCTCATTAAACCAGCTGGATTTGGGGCAATGTTGAAACCATAGCTCATGCATGTCCTTGTGATGTAGTGAAAGTATACTGAAACATTGAAGCGAAATCACATATTCACATCTATGAACGCCCAAAACATAAGACCTAGAAACTCACCATCACTTAACAGTGAGCACTGTCTCAAGCATTTTATGATGCAAAGTTTCATCTCTTATCCTCTATGATTCCTAGATATGGGGGACTAGAAATTGGAATGGCCAAAAAGCTTTTGGATGTTAGAGGGGGGTTAGACCACAAACACCCTCACACCCGTGTTCCATGGAGTTCTTTTTCATGAAATAATTATGGGGAAGAACAGATGGTGTTCTTTGTGTTTGGAGTCTCGGGAAATAGACATGCCTACTATGTTGATTATAGTAGGTTTATAGACTACTCTTGATCCATGTAGCTTTTTGGTTAAATAACCAAATAAATGCAATATCTCCTTTTGTACAGTATTGAATAGACATACCATACTACCTCAATGATCTTATTGCATCACCATTATGAAGCCTAAAAACTTACTTTATTTTTGTGTGCAGGTTAGCGTCAGAATTGGCTCACCAATTACTGGATATGGCCAGGAAAGCAGAAACCGAGCTGCTCGCCAAAGAATCCCTAATAGAGTTTGGAAGGATGACGAAGGTGTTGAGCATGTTGAGGTTAGTCTTTTCAACTCTTTTTAGATCCTTGTCTATTTACTTGCATTGCATTGTATGGCTTCGTAACATGATCCGCTATTCATCAAGCCAAATTAGAATCTAAAAGAGTTTTTTTAGAAATGTTAGTTAGTTAGGCAATTTGCCCTTTTATTGTACTCATTGTTTTTGCCTGTTAATGTTATCATCCCCCTTAAAGATTATGTTGGAAACATTTATGGTAAGATTTATTCTTGCATGGACACAAACTGGTATAATGTCGTCGAATTTTTGTAAAAAATTTCCCCCAGGTAATAATGAATAATATGCCAATAAATTATCTAACAAGTTTTAACAATGAATACGAAATTATATGAGGGGCATCCATGTACTTCTATTCTATGTTTATCCCCTATGCTTCTCTGATGATATTGGGTACTCATCTAGCAATAATAAATTACAACGATGACATTGCAAAAAAAGGTCAAATTAACTTGGAAAGTTCCTTAAAAGAAAATGCTACATTTGCCATACCACAACCTAAAAAGGGCAGTGTTGCAAATTGTGTCCATAATAATCTCAGATATTTTCCATTTTTCTTTTGCTATAAGATCTGAATCTAGAGATGGGACGTTTAATAATATGTCGATCTTTATATTGGATGTACGATGCCTTTTTGCTGGTATCTTGATCGACAACTGGTGATTTTAGGTAAATTTTTACATCCGAGGGCCACATGGAGCTGGAAAGGTTTTCAGTGAGATGTTTAAAGACAAAGAAGACAAGCAATGGAAGTTTATGTATCTGCAAGTTGAGATACACTCGCCATCCCCATCAAGAATGTTGCTCGAGTCTTATATTCCTGCTTGATTAAAGAAACGCACCCGACAATTCAACCTCAGAGATCCATCCATTTAGGTATCAACTATTTCCATTTGAAGTTTTACCATGACCTGATAAAATTTGGTGGTTTAGTTCCTTTTTTCCCTTTATTTCATTGGATTTTGAGTCGTCGAAGAGAATAAACTCCACAGAAAACCACACTACAAAAGAAGACCAGGAAATTGTCCTCTTTTAGTCTATGTTTGGCAAACTAGCTAATAAGCTCGCAGGCTGATGAACTAACTGGTCAGCCAACAACTAGCTTATTATCCAACACTATAGAGTTTTGATAACTGGTCAGCCGACAACTAGCTTATTATCCAACATTATAGAGTTTTGATAACTGGTCAGCCAACAACTATCTTATTATCCAACACTATAGAGTTTTGATAAGTTGTGTAAAATGTAAAAGTCATAATTGGAAAAAAGTGAAAAAAACACCCTTCGGTCCCGTTTGATTAGCGGGATTGGATTGGATTTGGAATTGAATTTCATTCCAATCCAATCCCATGTTTGGTTTGAAGGATTTTCTGGATTTGAAACCTCTGAATTTCATTGAAATCCTTTAAACGTAGGATTTTGAAATCCCACAAGGTCAGTATTTTACGGGATTTCATAGGATTTGTATGTAACAATGATTTATAACATGTTTAGAACACTTGTTTTGTAATAATCAATCAATAAAAATGTAATCTAATTATTTTCATGATTTGTTTCTATAAAATTTTTATAAACAATGGAATTCACTTCCATCTCAAATCTTAGAATACTAAAGACACCAAAGATTCCAAATCCTTCCATAAAATCCAAATCCCTTAATATCCATTACATCAAACCAGGCGCCACCTTGGAGCTTATTGAAAAGTTATTTAAAGTAGCAGTTCAAAAAGTTAGTTTATGAGCTGGTTATGGCGTACCAAACAGGGTTTTTTTCATAAGATCAAAACTAAACTACCTTGTGATTACAAAACCAATTTCATGCAAGCCATGAGCTAACATCCCACAAGTTCAGACGTAGGATCTGGGTTGTAAGATGTATGCAGACATTTCCGCTATCTCAAGAAGCAGAACCGGCTTTTGAAAAATATTTGGAAAGCAAAAGCTAGAAGCCATAGTTTTAATAATAGCAGGCGGTCGTCCTGGAAGTAGTCGGCTCGCATAGTGGGTTGGATATCCAGGTTAATCAAAAAAAAAAAATATTAATGAATTAGTTAATATTAATGAAGGTTTAGAAAAGGTTGCAATGAGCCTAAATTAAATGAAATTTTTTATTAATATGTTATAATGGTGATTGATGTTTTTATGCAGGCAGATGATGGAATTGAAATAGCAGTTTGGTGATATGCAAAGGCACCAAATGATCAACTCATATAAAAGCCTAAAACAGCCGTTCTATGAAAGCTGCATCTTGTGTGTTTTCATGATTGTTTTTGGCCTTTTGTTCCTATTTTTTGATATTTGTACCATCCGATATCTGAGTGGTGGTTTCATCACTGATTTCGTAGTCCGACTGAACTACGTTCGGTATGTCGTTAATGAAAGTGAAAAGGGTTCGAGATTTTGTGTGGTTACTAGCGAAAGAGAGACATTGAAATTTTCTAAGAGATTGAATTTTGTCGAATGGCTTTTCCATTTGGAACGAGTTGTTTGCCTTCGGTTGACGAGTTGCACAAAAGCTTTGGATTCTTTGTTCGAGATTTTTTTGGAGAGGAAGTCAGACAGACGAAAAGTTCTCGATTGCTTCAAACACTGTACGTTTGGATACAGAGGAAGAGGAGAAAACCGAATATTCCACATACTGCTTTTAATAAATCTGATTTATTTCATAGCCTTCGCTCAATAAGAAAATGAGTCTACTTTAAAGGATCAAAAAAGCAAGGGAAATATATTCATATTAAATAAAAAGCAATAAAATAAGTAGCGACGTGCGTGTAGCCCTGCGCCTCTATGACATTGGCATAGGGCTACGTTCTACCTTAATTGTTTCAGTATGTCATAACGTTCAGATTTGAAACAATTTTATGCAGAGAAATAATTTGTATCGAAAGATTAATTAATGATGTTGTTTATATCTAATTCGCGATTTTAATGATGCTGCTTACGGAACGCCTCTCCTTGTTGCGTAGGCAAATCAAGTTCAGGCTCGTGTGCACCAAGGGGTGAAAAGGACCGATCCACCATGTCTTGTGATACGTGGTCTAAGCTTGGTCGGTCCCACTGTAAAGTTCGAAAAGCATCTAAGTTAGTATTAACAAAGATCTATGACATTGAACAATAAAAAATAACCTATAATAGTGTTTGATGATACATTGTGTACATTAGAAATAGAAACACCAAGAAGGGTAATTTAGTAAAATTTGTAAATGTATAGTTTGGCAATCGTGGGTGTTCAGGTCAGTTTCCATGCAACTAAGCTAATCTAATTAGAACTTGACATGAATAACCTGGCAAACTCTCAGCTGGCCTTGAGGGGAACCGATGACTTAATAGAGCAAGCCCAAATATTTACCAGTTGAGCTACCCGAACCCAACCAGACGAACCTTATATGTTCCCACTCGAAAGTCGGAAGTAGGGCATGTTAGGGTAAGATGTATGTAGATCTTACCCCAACCACTGAACAAGAAGATGTATTTGTGAAAACCCTCTGCTTTTGAACGATTCAAAGGTGTGTGCAAGCAGGCAAACACATAGGTAGGTAATTGGGATTTAATGATGTGTGCACGTTACATTAGTGTGCGAGTAGCCAATGCAGGTGAAACACGTAAAACAATTATAAACACGTGACCTATTCATGTTATCTCTACTCCTCTCAATACCCTTCAAGTAAACATATAACAAGTCGTCGTGACAACAAAATACGAAATGCTCATACCTTTGGTGCAAAATCTTTATCCACCATTCGTGCCCGAACACCCTAAAGAAGATATTAGCCGGTAACGTGATACAGTTGGATAAAAGCTAATCTTGAAATTAGATGAACGAGTAATGTTGACCAATATACCTCACGAAAGTCACTCGAGATCTCACAGGCCACAGCTCGTGAAGTCAGTCTATATTCGCGAATTAGGCATTGATCAAAACTTTGAAACCTCCCTTCTCGTATCTAAACACGAAATGAAGGATAACTAAACTTATAAACTCAAACTTTCGGTTATGGAACCAAGCCAAAGAAGCAAATCTTGAAAGGTGCCACCAAAGGATCATTGGCCAGTGGTAATCAAGTTACCAGTAGAGTCCAACCTCTCAGGAGGCAAAAGGTTCAAACTTCACTAAAAATGATAAATGTGCATGATTATTCACCGTATATAAATATTATATAAATAAAAAAAAATACTTACTGATCTCAAGGAAACCTTCAAGCTCAACGGTGATGCGTATTTGAGTTTCTTTAGGACGGATTCGCACCACCCATCGTGAGTTTTGGCAGCTTCATTTTCCTATTAGTTTTTTAGATCATGGTCTTTACTAGAAGTTTCATAAACCAAATTGAACCTGGTATATCCCATTTTAGATGTAGGGTCTGTAATTAGAGATGCACAAGCCTTGGGTTTTTCAGGCCTAGCCCATGTCTTCCAAGTAGTTTTCAGTGAGTAAAAAATGGTCCATGCTTTTAGTCCAGGGTCAGGCTGAGCCATGATTTGGGGTCGAAAAAGGGGCCGATGGGCTTTTCCAGGCCAGGCCTAGGCCCTGACTTGGCCTCAAAATTTCGGGTTTTGAGCCTGGTTCGAACTGGTGTTTTGGGGCCAAGACTTTGGGCTTAAGACTTTTTTGTGCATCTCCGTTAGTATGTATGCAAAAATTTCATGAGCGTGCTAAAAATTGAAACTTCCAATGTTACCACGGTGTCGATAATTTCCTCAACAGTATTGTGGCTGAAACATTTGTTGATTGTTTCCATCCTAAACATATGAAGGTAAATAATCAGCTTCAATTTGATTTGCACAAAGTAATGCAGATCCTAGATATCATGGATAATTTAGTACAACATAATCGGTTTTATAGGAGGGCAGATCATGTCTAGGTGTTATAATAGACTGTTTATCAAGACTTAGTTTATATAAGCAAATAATTGTACGTCTTATATAAATGTGTTACAATAAGCATATCGGATGTTTTTTGGCATCCCAACAAGTTTTTAGGACAATTTTGAAATAAAACTATCTATTAATCTTTTTATATGACATTATTTGAAAACATATTTTTTAAACACAAGATTCCTATAAAAGGATGTTTTCACGAGACAATGCTCAAAGACGTCCTTAGAAAAAGCTAACAGAACACTTATTTGAAAAATGTAGTAGAAGTTTGTTAGGATGTCCAAATGTGTCATAACAAGGTATCTTTTAAAAAAGCCAACAAAACTTTTACTTGAAAAATGCCGTAAAGTTTGTTAAGATGTCTAAACACGTCACAATATCATATTGTATCGCCTTTACATAGAAGGTTCAATTGCAAACTTGACTTCCGTTGTGAACCAAGGGGTAAAGCAGAGTGCGTCGTGTGTCGCAAACATTCATGGATATATAGCATGAATAGTGTATCATTCATCAAGATTGGTGTATCATTCATTATGATTGGTGTAACCAGTGGCGGATCCAAGATTTTTGCCTAGTCGGGGAACCTTTAAGGTAGATTAACGGCCCGCAAAATCGTTTGATGTGTTTTTAGCCTAATTCCACAATTTTGATGAAATTTTAAAGTTTTTTGATTGATTTCGAGAGATTTTTAAGTTTTTTTTTTTTGCCCATTTTGAGACTTTTTTAATATTTTTGGTTGATTTCAAAAGACTTTTTTGGGGTTTTGTTGATTTCGAGAGACTTTTTTGGTTGTGACGTGGGGGCACTTCCAGAAATTTACTAGGGGGACGAGGTAAAAAGTAAAAAAAAACTACCTTTAACCTTTATAAAAAAATTCATGGGGCCCATCCCCCGCTCCTTGCACACTAAGTCCGCCACCGGGTGTAACATCCATCTTGAATGTTGTAGTTGATGATTATCTTCCAAAATAGAACATGATCATCTTTCAAAAATAAAAACAATTTATTCCAAAATCTCCCTCCATTTAATTCAATTTAATATCTTTCTCTTTTCATCATTTTATAACATCTCATTTAACCATAACTATTAATCAAGAAAATTAGCACATCTGATGAGTCTGTAAAGTTTATACTATTTACTTGGTTAACAAATGATTGTACCCGCTCTCTTCATATGTGTAATGGTACCAATTCAAAATAAATGATAATTATAGAAAATAGTAAAAAAAAAAAAAAACAAACAAACAAACAAACAAACCTCTGGGTAACGCTGACATTATCCGGAGAGGGAGGATCACTGTATTTTTCAAGAAAAGTTTTGATTACAGAAGGATCATCGGTTTTCAGATTTCTGAGACATTCTTCAATTAACGGAAGCTTCTGTGGGGAAGTGATTCATAATATGTGTTAGAGTTCCATATTAGCTAAACTTGAACAATTTCTCTTCAATATATGTTGGAACGTCCCTTCTTTGCTTAAAAGATAATCTAATGAAGTTCCCCATATTCTTAGGACTCGACATCTTGGGACAATTTCTGCCCATGTAGCCTCCGTTGGAGGGGGTCTGTTAAAGTCCCACGTCGGCTACCATTTCTCCTTAATATATGTTGAAACCTCCCTCATATCCTCAAAGAACTCTTTTGAAAAGTAATCTAATGGGGTTTCATATATTCCTACAGTATGCCAAAAGAACTGACCGAGCTTTGTGAATAGTGTGTCGCAAGCCCGTATGCAATCATTTCTTCTCCATTGAGTATGTCTCCTGTTAGAGCCAGATACTCTCCTGTATATATGAGGGATCTTTCATTTCAGTATTGTTGATCAACAAGTTATCTAATTTAGAAAACCATTATGTCAATCCTACAAGTTTGATCATTATGTGATTTTGAAAACTGATAGAAATGGACCGCCCAGATAGAGTCTGGGATGAGATGTATACAGACCTGACCTCTATTTCAAAAGATAGAACGACTGTTTCAGTACCCGGATTATTAAAAAATTCTATTTTATTTTGAAACCAAATATGAAAATTCTTGAGGGGTTATCAGTAAGATGCAAATAATATATATATATATATATATATATATATATAGACTTGGGATCATGCGAGACCAGTCTGTTTTCGTGAGACCCGTGAGACCATCTTTTTACACTTGAAACTTCACAGCAAAATGTTGTGAAGGTGACTTTTTTTAACCTTCAGAGTGTTTTTGCTGTGAAGTTTACATGTAAAAATGTGGTCTCACGGGTCTCACAAAAACAGGTTGGTCTCACGTGAACCCAACCCTATATATATATATATANTATATATATATATATATATATATATATATATATATATATATATATCTCCTGCTAGAAAAGGAGATACCTAAATGGCCAGGAAGATGTGAAAGGTGAAATGAAGCACCAGCATCAGGATGAAGACCAATTAATGTTTCAGGGGTAGCATAAACCTGCAGTGCAATAGGAGAATTAGGGCCCCTTTATCAACACCAACACATGTTAAGAGTCATCACTCTCACTTATTTTACTAGATAAGATTATCAGTCATTAAATGGAATAGTGATTTTTATTCTGTCATGTCCAATGTATCAAACGTATCCGAAAAAAGAGCTTTTAGGGAGAGAGTAGATATATTTTTGCATATACACATGTTTAATAATTCATATCTAATCAACATGGGACTCTAAAGTAGTTTTTGTTTATGAAAAAAAGTTGAACATGAAATATACGCAGATACTTACAGTTTTTTCAGTAACAACCCTGAACTTTGCTGGAATGGAAATTCCAGCCCCTCCACCCATGGTAATCCCATTCAAGATAGCCACCTAAATCACACCAGTAATCCAAAATATATATATATATATATATATATATATATAGAGAGAGAGAGAGAGAAGGATATATGATGGTGGTCCAATACATATAGCAAATAAACAATACAAATGGTTGAATGTTCTAATAAAATTCGGTTTATAACATCAAACAATTGTACATCCTATATAAAGGTGTTACAGTAACATGTTATGACGTATTTGGATATCCTAACAAGTTTTTAGGACACTTTTGAAGTAAAATATCACATTAGTTTTTTTAGGATACTTTTAAGAAGTGTCTTGTGAACACATTTTGTATAAGATACTTGTTTCCAAATATTGTAATAAAATGACTAATAGGATGTTTTATTTCAACATCGTCCTAAAATCTTGTTATGACATCCAAAAACGTTCTATCAACTTATTGTAAGATCTTTACATATGATGTACGATTGTTTGGTTATATAAACTTAAATTTTATAAAACAGTTTATCATGAAATTTGGAAATAATTGGCATACTATCTAAGTTGTTGAAACCCTTTTGCTAGATCAAGTAGTGTGTACTTACATGTGGCTTCAAATATGTATGTAAAAAGTATATGAATTTATATAGCACCCAAAAGAATTCCTTGCTTCCTTCAATGTTTCCTATTACAGGTTTACATGGATGTCAGTGTGAAAAATATACAAGCAAGAGATAGATATAGAAAGAGAGACAATACAATAAAATCAGTTATATGATATTATAATCTTGCGGGGTTGGTTCAATTGGTAATAAGACTTGGGTTTTTGGGGATTCTCTTTATGGGTTACCGGTTCGAGTTCTTTAAGGCCACTGGGATTTTCTTGTCTGTTCTCCAAGTCCCCCGGATTAGTAGAGGTGCGCACAAGCTGACCCGGACACCCACATTTAACAACAAAATATGTTGAAATGTTCTATTTAATAGGACCAATGGGCCGTTTACTAAATGCTTACCAGGTAAGGGCTTACCAATATCACTTATCTTATCGATTAAGTATAATAAGGACCAAGAATCTTACTCGGGAAGAGGCATAATAAGGACCAAGAGTCTTACCTGGTAAGTGGAAAAAGTCTCTTATCAGGTGTAAAACACACAACTGTTTGATCCTATAAACTTAAGTCTTAAAAGAACATTTAAACATATTTGACATTCTATAAAGTCAAATTTATTCCGGTATGCCTACAGAAAAAATGTTTTTTTTTGTACCTCTTTTTATCATATCATGGATGGCAACTATATCAGCACCAGCACAAAAAGCCCTACCATTTGCCTACAAACAAAATCCAGAAGTATGAATCATGAACTGATGATTCTTTTTATTAACCGGATATCCAACCCACTATGCAAGCCGATTAATCTCAGCATAACCACCTGCTTTGCAGGTAGCCTGGAGTCATTGCATTTGAATCTCCATGGTCATAGGTGAATTTTTATTTCTTCTTGGATTTGAACTTGGACCTCCAGATATTTTTTGACGTTTGGAGCCCAACATCAAACCAATCGGATACCACCCTTAGTTTAAATTGATGAATTATGAAACAAATGGTAGGTAATTGGCAAGTAAAAAAGTGCAATTAATATATATATGTACCTTCATTACAACAAAACCTACATCAGGGGTATCTTCCCAACTTTCATATGCTTTCTGCAACCTCTTTACCTGACCATCACCAATAGTCAAATTTATTTACTTATATAAAATAAATTAATTTGTTTTCTTATATATATATATATATATATATATATATATATATATTATAAATTAAAAGAAAATATATAACCATATATAAATTATGGAGCGATTCATGATTGGAAAGATATAACTGATAAATAGACAAACTACTCAGTCCAGTTCGGTTTGGACGTTTCTTATTCAAACCGGATCATAAAAAGCGGTCGGTTTGCCCAATTTGATCACTTATTAAACCGGATCATAAAAAAGGGGCCGTTTACCAAACGCTTATCCGGATAAGCGCTTATCAAGTCACGTTACATCACCGGATGAATATGGTAAGGGCCAAGAATCTTATCCGTTAAGAGCGAGACAAGGACCAAGAGTCTTATCCGGCGACAACTCTTACCATGGTAAGTGCTTACCGGGTAAATTGTTGCATACGATATTGTTTTGGTGGACTAAGTAAGTAAATAATAGTGTTAGTTTTACCGGCAGTTTGATAAACGGCCCCTACTATCAAACTGCCGTCACGGTTTGATTTGTAATCTAGGGGTTAAACCGTCTAAACCGGACCTCTAATACCTCTGATAAAAAGGCAGAGAGAGAGAGAGAAAGATAACCGAACCATGGAAGTAGTTAGGGCATTGAGGAAGGAAGGTCTGTTGAGAATTACGCTTCTGGAATGTCCATTCTGTTCCAATAATACCTCCTGTTAAAATCATCAATTCATCAAAATCATGTTGAAAAAGGATATATAATTGAATTCATTTGAAGTTGAAGAACTCACAGAGGAATCAGGATGATCGATGAGTGAATGATTGACGCTAAAGCTTCTGGTTCTTCGATTGAGTTCATTGATGATAGATCGAGAACAATGACCAACAGATCGTCGTCTTCTTGCTAAGCTCTGCATTGACTAGGATTAATTGTGTGTAAAAATGGAGAAATCTGGATGAATTTGTAATCAGAATGATGGTCCATTGTCTAGTTTAGCCAACCCTAGCGTCTGCAACCGATAATGGCTACACCTACACCACCATAATAATGGTCCTTTTGTACTTGAGCCGGCGAAATGGTGATCGGTGAATTCACGACAGCATTCCACACTTGACCAACTACATCGCACATCATATTTTACGGTCATTTTGCTTTGACGTGGCATATTTAAGGGATGGTGACCACGTCAACGAAGATTGTTGACCATTAAAACAAATATCATATTAGAGGTATATCAAATGAAAATAAATCAATAATATTTTAGTTTATGTCTTATTCTTATATAAGACTACAAGATCATCCTCTTTATCTTTAAGCATAATCGTAATTATTGACCAGTCAAATACGATTTTGACCGTATGAAGGGCTATGATCATTTCTTTACTCCTCAAATACTTATCACTATCCAAAATGACATTTGGATATATTTATATATATATATATATATATATATGTGTGTGTGTATATATGTATATGTATCAAATGAGAACCACAAAAAGGTTACAAACCTTATGAGAATCAATTTAAAAATAAACTTTTACATGATTTTTCTTCATCAAAATATTAGGATTTAAGATATTGTTTTAACATATAATTGTTTCATAATGTGATAATTTCACATGTATTTGTTTTACCATATGAATATTTTTTATATGTATTTTTTGTTTCACTAAGTAAATTAGAAAAAAGTTTCACATGTAATTTTTTCATAAGGTTAAAAAAAACATATGTGAACCAATATGCTAAATCATAGCTTTTAATGGAAAAAAAATAATATAAAAAAATTATTTTTATATCGGTTCTCACATGTTTGTGGTTCTCATTTGATTGTCGTCCTACGTGTATACATATAAGCAATGGTTTCTCAAAATTCTAAAAGCGTCGGATCTTGATTCAATAGATTACGAGCATGCGATGGTTGGACTTGACTTTCTTCAAGAGCTCAAAGAAGAAGAAAGCCGCAAAATACCAAGATAACGGACCTTAATTAGTGAGGATGGCCAAAACCAAACGAAAATGCAAATCACAAGAAAAGATTTGTAACGAATGAAATTAATGGACGAAAATCCAAATTTCTCAACATACCACATGAACGAAAACGATAACTAACTCGATTTTTAAATATATTTTATAACTTGCTCGATTTTTTTTTCCAATTCTATATTGTAAACTCAATATTGTATTCAAGCATCAAGCTTGAGCACTATTTTGAAAAAAAATTGAATTCGAGCCAAATAATATTTTTTTTAATTGAGCCCACACTGCATGGTACTTGACTCGACTTTTCAACGCCCCTAGTTTGACTTGAATTCAAGCCAAATATCGTGTGATTGAGTTTGGTTCCAACGATCAAGCCAAACCGTCGAAAGCGATTTGTCGAAGCTTGTGAGCTCTCGAGACCTTTCAATGGGCCCGTAACTATACTCAAATCAGAGGTTATGGTTGTTTGAGATAGACACATTTTCCCTTATCTCCAATTCTCACATGTGTTCCACCTCAAAATAAAGAATTATGTTTATATCTATATTATATTACAAAGTATTTGACAAAAACTCTTAAAACCACTTTTTATGTATGAATTACTGTTTATTGATGCATATTACTTAAAATTTAAGATTACAAGTAAATTATGCATAAGTACAACTTATTAAAACTTCATACTAAAATTCGTCTAACTAACTTTAGATAAACATAATCAAATATTGGATAAACATCTCATTTTAAATATAAAAAAATCTAAAATATTATTAGGATAATCATTGATAACTAACAGAATACTTAGTTATTATCTTTATAAAAAATTATATTATTAAATTTAAATTAAATTTCTTTCTTACTAAACCTAAATTATATTATAATTAAAAAAAATTTAATTAAGGAAATTACACCAAAACATAAAAACTTTTAAAAAGATTAATTTATTAAAGTTCGATGTTTGAATTCGTATAACTAATTACGGATAAACATAATCAAATAGAGGATAAACATCTTATTTTAAAATTTTAAAAAATCTAAAATATAATTAGATAATTATTGAGTTCTAAGAAAATAATTAATTATTATCTTTATAAGAAAATTATATTATTAAACCAAATATAAATTACTTCGTTATTGTACCTAAATTAAATTATAATAAAAAANTTATATTATTAAACCAAATATAAATTACTTCGTTATTGTACCTAAATTAAATTATAATAAAAAAATTGAATTAAAAAATTACACAAAAAATGAGGAATTTTAAATAGTTATTTTGATACGAATATCGATATATTTTTGTTATGCATAAAGTACTGTATATATTAATGCATATTACTTAAAATTCAAGATTACAAGTAAATTATACATAAGTACAATTTATTAAAGCTTTAAATTTATATAACTAACTGATAAACATAATCAAATAGAGAATAAACATCTCATTTTAACTAAAATATAATTAGAATAATTATCGAGTTCTAACAAACTAAATAATTATTATCTTTATAAGAAAATTATATTATTAAACCAAATATAAATTACTTCATTATTGTACCTAAATTAAATTATAAAAAAATTGAATTAAAAAATTACACAAAAAATGAGGAATTTTAAATAGTTAACTTGATACTAATATTGATATAATTTTGTCAAAATTTTATGATATCTTCAAACTTATATTTTATTCAAAAATAAAAACATCATCACTTTCTCAAAATAACATAAGACCATATTATAACATCGACTGAGATAAAGAATAAAATGAAATATTAAAATCAATATGTATTTCGCTGCATTGCGCGAGTACCATTCTAGTCTATACTATCTTATAAAGCATTTGGCTAAAACTCTTAAAAACTCTTAAACCCGTTCATCCCTGTCCGATTTCATCCCTGTCCGATTTCATGCCATATCTAAATTGGTGTAACTAACTGCAGATAAACACAATCAAATACAGAATAAACATCTCATTTTAAATATAAAAAATCTAAAATATAGTATAGATAATCATTAAATTCTAACAGAATACTTAATTATTATCTTTATAAAATTTATAATATTAAACCAAAAATAAATTATTTTATTATTAAACTTAAATTAAATTATATATAACAAAATATATTCTATATTATAAACCATTTGACAAAAACTTTTAAAAACCACTTTTTATGCGTAAATACTGTTTA